TAACACAGTGCATCTGCAGTAACCTTTCCGCAAGACCCACCGGACACCTATCAGCAACATTCCCTTAAATGATCACGGTGTGCCGTCTCCCTGGCGACGTTCAAGTTTCGCACTCTAAGACAAATCAGTCAACAGTCTGCACTCGCACTGACGTTGTACCCACTGGGTATTGACGTCGTTGTGTGCCGGAAACTAGGATCAATGACCGTTTTGATGCTGTTGGATTAACTGCGCCCGGCTTGTCCTCTCGCTATTGGTTGCACGCATCCGGCGACACTGATGCAGCACTCACAGGTCAAGCCGTTCATGTGCAGCCCGCTTGAAGCCACCGATCGAGGTTGATTCACGAAGTATTACAAGACGCTGTTTGTTTGTGATTTCCCCTTACGCTCCCACCGACTGCGGTTCTGATGCTGCCAAAGTCAAATTCTATCGTGAACTGAACGCGCCACTACGCAGCGCTACTAGTTCCGATATCATAGTACTTGCAGGAGATATGAACGCACAATTAAGACATCTGAGCTCTTCAGAAGCTCGGCTACATAGCAGTTTTAGGTTTAACTCCGACCGTACGGACAACGGCACGCGTCTGTTGCAACTGTGTGCGAAGCACCAGTTATTTCTTAGTAGCACCGCTTTTATTCACAGTAGGCGTCGAAGTGCCACTTGGCGTCCTCCCGTAGCTAGCCAGCGATGGACCCAAATTGATCACATAGCCGTAAGTTACAGGTGTCGTGGTTCCATCCTGGATTGCCGCTCATACTGGAATACCTACGTCGACTACGATCATGCCTCGGTACGGTATCACTTTTCCATGAATCTTACCGTGAGGCACGCCAAGCGTCTTCCCTATTGGCAACGTAGAAATTGTCTCAGCCCTCGATCAGGCAAGCCTGTCAAGACGCACTGCGTACCGAACTTTCGCTGTCCCGTCTTAATGACACAGCTTCAGTGGGATAGGATGTTGGTCCCCATCCTCGACGCAGGAGTACTTGCTTGTGGCACTATCTGTCGTCACCGCACCAGTCATTTGATATCCGAGAGGTCACTGAACCTGTTAAATCCGAAAGGAGACTTCAGGCCGGCTTTGAGCGCAGTGTGACCCGACGGACTATAAAGCGGGAACTAAAGCGGAGCCTACATGCTGACACGGAAGCCTGATGGACCAGTCGGGCTCTAGAAATGGAGGTGGCATGAGCAGTAGGCACTTACCGCAAGCTCTTCCAGCTGATCCACACCACTGGTTTCAGGAAACAATGTATCAGTGAGACCATTAGGAACAGCGCAGGTGCGCTGATACACAATAAGGATCACCTTATGGCAGGTTGGGCGGAGAAGTTTCCAGATCAGTTCCGTTGACCCACTGCTCCCGGACCTCTTCCTACTTAGGTGGTGCAGCCTGAGCCGTGGACGCTCAGTTTAGATGCTTTGTCGGAGGCTGAGGTCCGAGAAGCGATCACAACCCTCAATAATTTGCGTGCTGCTGGCCCGGATTCCCTCCCACCTGCACTATTTAAGGATTGAGGTGAGGTCCTCTGCAAAGAACTGAACTCTATTCGAAAATATATGGAAGGAAGAGAGCGTTTGGCTAACTAGTAACTTGCTTATAGTGGCAATATACAAGGGGGGCGGTCGTACAAACTGTACTAACCACAGGGGTATTAACCTGACGCCAAATTGTGATAAAATTACTGGCCTCCATTCTCGTTCGTCTGAAATCTCGGGCTTTTGAAGAGTAGGCAAGTTTCCGTCCAGAACGTGGTTGTATAAGACCATATATTCACTCTACGGCAGGTGCTAGAGCAACGCCACCTGTACCGCAGACTGACTAGCTGTGTTCTTCGACTTCACGAGTGCGTTCGATTCAGTTGATTTATGGATTCTGTTCGAAAACGCGTGGATAGGTCTTCCCACAAAATATTTCAGCATCTTGCCTGTTGTATATTCGAACACTACGGACAGCGTCTGAGTCTGTAATGACCTGTCGGATAGCTTTCCGACCACAAATGGCATTCGTCAGGCTTGTCCGATTTCCCCGTTTTTGTTCATTTCCGTCGTGGATTCCATCATAATGTGTTCTTCTACTAAGTCTCATGATGTAGGTTTTGAGGTCTGCTTGGTGAGAAGCTAGTGGATCTTGATTATGCGGACGTTATCGTCTAGCTTTTTGACAATGTTGCGGCGACACAATCAACCCTGAATCACCTTTCCAGAGTGTTCCCATTATTTGGTATGCGTTTCGCGCCTTCAACGTACAATGTGGTTCTGCAGACCACCAGCTACTTGATGACACTTTGACCATTGATAACGAGGAACCCGAGGGAGTAGATTGATGCACTTATCTTGCCAGTTGCATCGGGAACAATGGGCGCATAGAAACCGAAGTCAGTGCACGCATTGCGAAAGCTGTAACTGCCTTCTTGAACGTGCGGCATTTTTGGAGACAGACGGATGTTTCCCTGCATCTGAAAGGCCATGTATACAAGACCAAAGTGAGGGCCATCCTTCTCCAAGGGAGTGAGACTTGGTCCTTTCGGTCTGAAGATATGAAGCACCAGGTCTTTGATCATCGCTGTCTGCGGAGCACTGCTGGTGTCCGATGGCATCACTGTGTCCGCAACGATGATGTGCATAGGCGAGTACTAGGAAGCGATAATCAGGTCAGTATTTTAGAACATCAGAGAGCACTGAATGAGTTGTGTTGGCTTGGGCACGTGTTGCGTTTGTCCGATCATTACTTACCGAGGGGGGCCTAGTTTTGTCTGCGAGATGTAGGATGGCGTAAGGCCCGAGGAAAACAAAGCTTGACTTGGTATCGGAAAATGAAGTCACTTACGACTAAACTTGATGCGGTTGGTCCGTCTCGCCTTCCGGGCTGGAGTCCACATGACCCGCCTTCTGCTTGGCTCGACACTTTACAGGACATGGCCCGTAGCCGACACCAGTAGCGCGTCTGCTGCCGTTTCCTAGTCGGACTGCCTGTTTAGTGCCTAGTTATTTGCTGTGTAATGGCTGATTATGACGCGTGGCAGTGAAAGCCGCAAGGAAGCTGTCTCGCCGATACCGCTTTATCATAGCACGATGGCTAGCTGTTTGTGACGGTATGTTGTTGACAAGGTGCAGGCGCCGTGATTCTGAATGTTTGCTTATGGCACTAAGGTCTTCCGGTAACTCCCTTTCTCTCCCTCTTATTATGCTTTATTCCATAAGTAGTTGTGTGGCAGCGAAATGTCAGTTCAAATGACTGATCTACTGCTGTTGTTGATTGCCTGATCTTTTTTTCATTTCTACGGGTGGAATTTCTGTTAGCTGACAGGTTATCCATCAACAAGTGCGCGGGCGACTTAACTCTGGATTAGACTTGGGTAACGAAGAGAGCTACGCGTTTTGGTGTGTGCTTTGCACGTTTACTTTCCAAAGTGCTGTTGTAGTGCTAAGCAGACAACTCATCAGTTTCCGTAGCCGTTGTAGTAACTCGAAATGGTCGATCGGTTTACGCACCAGGATGACTGTATCGCTTATGGTAGTCGCATCATCGAAGTGACTCCCTCACGCATTAGCGGGATTCGTGTATCCTATCGTCTCCTCAGCCACCTTTGAATTTGGCTGGATATGAAATGTCTTGCAAGACTGCAATGTGACCGACATTACTGTCTACGTCATTATATTGCTTCTACAGGCTGGGTACGTGTTTACTGATACAAGGCGTAGTTTATATCTGGTGGTTGCACCGAACGAGTACCGAGGAAGTTGGTTGCTCTCGTGCTTCGTTAGATTGTCCACTAAATCCGAATCGTCTTCGGTGGCTCGGTAGTATTCCCCGCACACCTGCAAACCATCGACTGCTTCGACTTTTACCTATACCGCTTAATTGAGCGGAACCCTGGAGTGACCGGTCGATATGCTTTGGCCAGGACCTCGAAGAAATTCCTCGAAAGGTTCGGCAGTGTTTTTGTATGTTACCCAATTTATCGAGGATCTGTGAACTGGTTACGTCATCGGCTATAAACACTTTATTGAATAATGCACATTCATCAAGTCAGCCGTCCTCTGGAATTGTTTTCCTTATCTCCGCCCCTTAACTTCACCATTCGAAGCTTTTATTTTTTGCCTGTTGCTGAATTATTGCCATTAGTATTATTATTTTGGCAACGTGAGTCAAGACAACTGGGCCCACCGCATTTTTGGGCACGGATCGTAGTCGATTATCTGGGTCAATATTACGTTATTTTCGAGTTAATCTTAGTTGCAAACCCTTACAGACATGGAGTAGTCACGCAGTGAGTGCCGTTCCTTTTATTCGGTTTCCAGCATCTAACCCTTTAAGTTTCGTTTCACCCATTTCCTTGACATTGTATTTTCATACATTCTCATTTTCATGCCGTCGTTATTTATTGCTATTCTGGTGTTGTGAGTCGTGCCAAATGGATCCATCGCGCTTCAGTTCTCGGATCATAGTTGTTCTATCGAACCAAGTTAAACCTTGACATTTGTTTTTTCTTGTGGTCTTATCAACTTTGCCTTTTTGTTGATTGTAGTCTGTCATCACTCTACGTCTGCTGTTATTTTGTGTTACCCAGTTGCTTCAAATGGAATTAGTGTCGATCGCAATTGCTTTGCGATCACCTTACTTTATTGTATTCCTCTACTTATTCAAGGACGTCATTTTCTTCTTGTGCAACAACTGGTTTCATCCGCACATTTCAATTTTTAGTCATATACTCTCCAAGGCGGATTCGGATCGATTAGCTTCCTGGCTTTCTGTTCCTATTTCTTAATGCATAAGCGACGTACGGCATTTGGCACGCTTTTGAATCTACCCTATGTTTCACACACCCCCTTGAAATATCTCCCCACTTTGTTGCGGTTATCACACTTTGCAAAAGTTAGTTTTACCTCTACTGGCTTAGTTCTCACTATTCTCCAACATTGTTCAAGTTAGATGCAGGTGAAATGTCCATTTGAACCTTATTCACCTCTCGTTTTTTTCTGTTTCGCAGTTGTGTTCAGTCCCTGAGTTTGAGTACTGCTGGACACTTTTATGTGTGCTGGATTGCTTGCAGCTTATCCGCCCGAGAAATGTCAACCCAAATGACTCGGTGGATATTTCCATTACCAATATACTGGCGGCTCTTCCATATTCTACTCATAATCACTCTCTCGTGCTTCGTAGTGCTGTTCCAAGTAAGCCCAGTGACCGGAAACCGTCAGAAAATGTGTTCTTGCATGCCAGTCAATCAGGCAATCCATTGGCTGAACCGATAGCGAAACTTGTTGCACGCACCTACGCAATTATTGCGCCGCTCACCAATTCACCGGAACATGAACGCGTGGCAGATACGCTTGGTCGGGACCAGCCATTTACTTCGCATCTGGTGGATATGTGGATAATTGTCGTTTTGCAGCTGACCTTCCTCGGCCAACGCTTGTCGTATTGGTCGTCCTGTCGGGATCGCACCGTGCGCGATCCGATTCTTCAGTCTATCAAGTTGGGTATCAATCAGTGTTCCGTTTCCCATCTATCAAATCCGGACGATTTTGCCGTTTCGGTTCATCGGCACTTAAATCACTTGTTATCCTCGAAGACCACTTACTCCGAGGTTTACATTTCTTTGGCACAAATCATCGTCGGTTTCCTGCACTTGACCTCCCAGCCGCGCAAATCGGTCCACGTCTCTTGTCTTTTGGCCAACTTTTTGCAGTAAGAATTCATTACGCCTCTTGTTCATTCATCTCCACCCTTATCTGTTAAGTATATGCATCACCTTTTTCAGCTTCTAAGACTTGAATCGCTCCCATATTTGCCACTATTGAGGCGTCCGACAAGGTTTAACTGCGATAGCATTCACTTCAGGATAGCATCTTTTGTCGAAGTTGTTTTTCAGCACCGAAACTGGTAAAGTTTCTTTCATGCATAGAGGATTTACTATATTTATTCATGCATATGTGGAGTAGTTCCATGTGTGGGTCGACTCCTCTCCATCCGGCTATATTCACCTCTTTCTGAATTCAGGTGCTTTGCTCTTATTGACGATTTACACGGATTATTAGTGAAACTATGGGAGCAGAAAACTGTCCCAGCCGACTGGAGCCGCTTTGTTATTGTCCCGATCTTCAAGCGAGCCACACGTTCGGAATGCGGCAATCGCAGAGGAATCAGTCTGACTTCTATCGCTTCCAGATTGCTTGCCTCTGTCATCCTTCACAGACTGAATAACATTCGTGAAAGCCAGATTTGCCAAGAGCAAGCCGGGTTTCGCCGAGGTCGGGACTGCATCGATCACCTCTTCACTTGCGTCAATTGTTGGAACACTGTCACATATATTGGCGGCCCACCGTTGTCGTGATCCTCGACATCAAAGGTGCCTTCGATTCGGTTGCTCGATGTGCCCTTTGGGACTGTCTACTCAGGAAATGTTACTCGGGAAACATGTGAAAATTATCCGGCGCTTTACGCGCGTAGCTTGGACAGCATGTGTGCTTACGGCCGTCTGTCGCCGCCTTCTACTATCTCCAGCGATTTGAGACAAGGATGCCCGCTGTCATCTTTCCTCTTCGACTTCGTTACTGCCAAAGCCATGGAGATCACAATCACACGACACAACTTAGAAGGTGTGCAGCTGCTCCAAGGTGAGCGACTTCTTGAATTGGAGTAAACTGCCGATATCGCCTTCATTTATGACAGATCACAAACGTGCCAAGCACTGGACAGATTAGCATTGGCTGTCAGCCGCTTCGGGCTTTGCCTTGCACCCTGAAAGTGTAAAGCTTTTTTCGAAGATTGGCAGAGACAGCCTCCTGCGCTGATCCTTGGTGGGGATCAGGTAGAACTCGTTCAGAAATTCAACTACCTGGGAAGTTGTATCAGCGCCCGTAGAATTAAAGACGAGTTCACGAACCGTATAGCAAAAGCTCGAGGCGCTTTTGCTAATTTTCGCCAACTGTGGCGGCGGAGTGAAATCATTACTGCGCTGGGGGGTAGAGTGTACAATGCATCGGTACATTCGACTCTGCTGTGCGGTTGTGGAACCTGTCCTATTAGATTAGTAGACATAAAGAGGCTACTTACGTATGATTTCCGGTCCCCTCGCAGCTTTGCTGATGATGCAAACACCGTGTGAGCAATGGTTGTCTTCGACATCTTGCTTATGACACAGAAACATGGAAATAAACCTCACAGCAGCGCTAAATAAGGCACCAAGTACGATGGCTGGGCCACATGTTATTTATGCTAGCCCACCGGATCCCACGACTTGCGTTGTTTCCGCACCGTTACTGTGGATGGAAGAAGAGGGGAGGCTTAGTGATGACTTGGTCAAGAGGAATGAAAGAACTTACTTCGAATTCGGAGTCCGAAGGACGTTGATCCCTTTGGCTGGATACATTTGTTGACATGGGTTGGAGCTGATCTCATTGGCGTTTGTGTTGTGAATTTCTTTGTCCTCCCCCACCGGCTTGGCCTCGCCCTTCAACCACGATCTCATTTCTCAGGCATAATCAAAATCTCTTTTCGCGGCTCAATAGCCGACTGTTAGCTTTCCGAAACGATGTCCATCCTTTACTGGGGACTACGCTGGCGTGCTTCTGTTGCCTTTTCTTCTTTTCTTATGTATTGCGGCACAATAGCTGAGGCGTTTCCAACCTCTAGCTAACGTGGGTGTAACGATGTGATGATGACTTGCCTCTTCTGAAAATGCATAGTCACCACGTCCACTTTCTCCAGTGCCGCATATGATAAAGACATCTCATTTGGACATAGGGTGACGTGTCATTTTACGGCTGGAGTCATCCACCTGGTTCACATGCTGTCTTCTGTACGCCTTGACATCAATTGATATCAGAAACAGTGATTTTTCTTAGTTAATTCATGTTGTTTAGTCAGGGGATTACTCCCTACATGCTTGCGTATGTCCGGAGAAACATGGACAAAATCGATAAATCCCACTGTTGTGTTGACTGGCAAGGTATTTGACAAAGTCCCTCCTGCATGGCTTCCATTCAAAATTTTGTCAATCGGTGTCAACGTAGTACTCTGTCTCGGATCGCTGATTTTTTAAAACGTTGCATTACTTGTGAGGAGGAACCAAACCGTCCGCCCTTGTGCTCATAACTAATGTTCTTCCTAAGGATTCCTACTTGGCGCAGAGCTCTACAAACCTTTTGTTAACTACTTCCTGATCTATGCCGATGACCTCAAGCTTAGGTCAAATTATCCAACTTGGACGATGCTAACAGATTGCGAGCGGCACCAAAGTGGCTGCGTGACTAGTCTACCAAGCGGTTACTACCCATGCATCTCGATAAATGCACCTTTCTTCAGGTTGGCGCTTATCCTACTGATGAATATCTTTTCAGCACTGCATCTCGAAGGGTCTCGTGGTAATTCTACCCCATGATCTTAGAGCCCGTAGTATTGGGATTGAACCTGAACGTGTTAAGATTATTTGCTTGCTTCAGCGATCCAAGGGGCTATGCTGTATGGTTCTTTTGCGTCTTCAGCGCCACTCACAGCAGTTCTCACTGGTTCGAGGACAGATAAAGTCAATTTATTGATCTACCATTTTTGTGGTTGAAATAAGCGTTGCTCCATGTTTTCTAAAATGGTCGCCCTGCAGGCCACTGCCAACTTCCCTTTGTCTTGCGGTCAGATTTTTTTAAACTACTGTCTAGTTGGTAACTTTAATCACTCTCCTGATTTGCAGTGTTCAGCCTAATACTACCCTACTCGCGCAGTACAGCACCATTTTCTTCTGGCAATTTCTTAAGGGTAATATTGTAATTTGTCACATCTAGACTCTTTCTGACAACCATCAAAGTCCAGATAATCTCTGCATGGCTGCCTTCTTCTTCCAGAAATCGCCAGCATTGACATTTCATCAGTACGCTTTAGCGCTAGAACCGAAAACCCCACTCTAGAAGCGATCAAAGTCAAGACAAAATAAGCCTTATTAAACCGACTGGGAACATTTTCAGCATCTGACACTAGCATCATCCTCATCATTATACACGTTAGCTTCAGTTGGAAAGCACCACAGCTATTGTGCTGCAATACAAAGTAAAAGAAAAAAAAACATGAAACTGTGGTACGATGGCTGAGTCACCAGCAACTGATGGACATCGTTCCGGAGAGCTAACCTCCATCTATGGTGCGCATAGTAGTCATATTATCCTTAATACTTGAGAGCGTGGGTGGAAGGAGAGGGGAGGGACAAAGGAACTCACAACACAAACTCCACTGGGGCCGGCTCTTCGCCATAACAACAAATGTGTCCAACCAAATGTGTTCATCGTCCTTAGGACCCCAGCCATCCAAACCCCTATCCACCCTGCTCGATGCAGCAGATAGGACGCCGTTTAGTATGCCTTGCGACGGCGGGACAAGGAAACTCACAACAACCCAAGCGAACAATGAAGCAAGATGGTGATGAGCCAAGAATTGCGGGATGGAAACAGGGGGATAAAGTGAAGCTGGAGAGAGAATGGAGATGGAAACGCGTAAATGGGGGGAATGAAATGACGGAAATGTCTGAAGAGTAGCATCCAAACTCTATTCACCCAGCTTGATGCAGCAAATAAGATGCCTTTGGTTGTCCTTTACCACGGCCAGAGCATCAAGAGACTGTTTGAAAAGAAAGTCATTGTGCTCTATTGCGTGGGCAGGGTACTGTCACGTTAATCAGGCCTAGACAGGAGAATTATTAGGATTCTTAACTAAAGCCTTCGGTTCAAAAACCTTACCGCAAGGTAGCGAGGTTTTTGCACTGGACTACAGAGAGCCCGTTTTATGGAGTAAGGAGCCACTCTCACTCCAACCCTTAATCCGGAGGGCCAGAAGATTGAGTTTGTCTGGCCTCTAACCATTGACCAATCTGGTGTGAGTGGTTCGGAAGTTGCAAAAACACCGCCCGGCATAGGCCGATGGATCATTGAGGCACACAAACCATCGCACCACGTTAGGGTCCAGTCTCATCGCTATGAATCTTACACTAGCACTGCAAATGTAATGAGGCATGACAGTGACAAGAAATTTCAATCATTTCATTTGAAAATATCATATACATGCATATCACGCGTGGTGCTGATGAGTTTCTTGGAGTCCACAATAAAAAAATAAACATGGTAAGTTGTGTGCAAACGAAATCCTAACTTTAGAAGGAGTAGATGAACAGGAGAGAGCTTTTGATACATCATCATGAAGGGGGTGAAAACGATCATATAACAGCTTTAATACTAAGTTGTCACGCACCAAAAAGCCTAGTAACGGTAAAATCGACCAGAGATACTCTGGGTAGTTCAATGCACCTGGAAATGAGTTTACTGAGACGCACAACCAGTGTAAAGTCCTTTTGTAGAATTCCAGAACAATGATAGGTGAGCAATATAGCCAGTGAGGAAGCATACAGGCAGTCACGAATTTGTATATTAAAGAGCAGGGTTCTGAACGCATTTTGAGTCTCAGGGCATAAAGTGATAATTTTCACACCTTGCAGAACGTTCCATTAACGTAAGTTGACCCTGATAGATTTTGTGTTAAGTATACACCAAGGTACTTGGTACTGGATGAACTGGGTATGTTGTGCTCGCTCACGACCATGCGTCGCATAGTATTTGTCAAACTCCAGTTTGTCAGTGCGGAGGAAAGTGAAAGTTACGTCGTGACATTTAGAAGCGTTGAGAATAAGAGATCGGGGCAAAGACCAC